TGCTGCTGGTCGCACTACTTCTAACACAAGCCAGGATGCCGTTGGCTTGTCTGGCCACCTGGGCACACTGCTGGCTCATATTCAGCTGCTTGTCAATGAGAACCCCCAGGTCCCTTTCTGCCAGGCAGCTTTCCAGCCACATCTCTCCAAGCCTGTAGCATTGCAGGGGGTTGTTGTGGCCCAAGTGCAGGAGCTGGCACTTGGCCTTGCTGAAGCTCATACCAGTAACATTGGCCCACTGATCCAATCTCTCCAAATCTCTCTGTAGGGCCTCCCTGCCCTTGTGCAGGGTGTTCATTGAACAAGCAACTCTAATGCTTTCACACCTTTCTTGTTGTTCCTGCTGCAGCAGAAGGGTGGCTTTGCCTCCTCCCCCTAACACCAGCTGCCCTTATGGAGAGTTTAACTGATCTGTTTGCCTGTGAATGAGAAAAGGGATGCAGGGAGAAAAGAGTGTCCCATGGATGGTGACCTTCAGAAGAAAGGAGGGGAAAATAGCAGAAGCAGTCTGCTTCAGGAGCACAGCACAGGCAGGATAGAATTCCCAAAATTCCCTTTCACACCATTTATAGATGAAAAAAGATGCCTCTGAAAAATTATGTACTTGACGAAGGTGACCCGGTGAAATGAGGGAAAAGTGAAATGTAGGGGTTTTCATTTAAGCTCAGTTTTAAACAGCAGTTTCAGCCTTGTTTTTGTGCTCTGCTACATGTACACAGTTTTAACTCACCTTTTTGATATACAGTTCTTCCATAAAGCCAAGCAGCACCCAAGTTTATTGAAAGAAGAGATAGAATGAAACTAGTGCTGTCAGGCCTTCAGAGAAAAACCCTCGTACCTGCGTAAAACACCATTGGCTCCATAGGGTCTCCAGGCAGATCTGTAAGTCTTTCTGCTCAGATGTGACAGAAGGATCTGAGACTTTGTTTCTCAAATCAGGATCAGAATGCTTTGATAGTTTTAACGGGAGGAACAGATGAAGAGAATTAGCTTTCCTTACAGACAGTGTGGATTCCTTTGCTACTAGGAAGTGAAAAAAGGTGTATTTACAGTAAAAGGTAAGTAAAGTCATCAATGTCTTTGTGAAAGGCTGGGAAAATGGCAATCAGGAAACACATGAACACATGGCCTCACAAAACTGGATATCATGTATCTAAATTAGAACTTCTGCTAGATGAGAATCTGTTACATCTCATTTGCAGCATTTACATCACAGATTAATCGCCTTTTAATCAAAACGTGGTGAGAACACTTCTGGGATCTTATCTTTCCTGTTTGAAACTTTGTTTAGAACTAACTATTCTACACAGCTTATGCAACCGCTTTCCAGTGGGTGGGCGAGGAGAGTATGGAGTTTAGGTACAGATTTAGAAATGATCACTGAAAAAACCATAATCACCTCCTTGTTCTGCCAGCTCATGCTTTTACCGTATTTTCAGAGCTGTTAATCTCCATCTCATGACTTCTGAAAGGGTAACTCTTAATTCCAAAGCGAGTAAACTGGCACTTATTTCCCTTCAATTAGTCTGTTCCTTGTGTACAAGTGGAGTACTACATCGTGAACTTCCCATCTGCTGAAGGCCTAATTGTTTTCTTAGCCGACTTAGTAAGGAAAGGAGACGTGTGTGACCACATGGAGCAAGGGTTCTCTAATAACAGTTTTGAAAGACACTGGCCACATTTGTATGGTCCTGTCTGACAGAGTGGCAGAAACATCAGAGATCTTACAATGCCTGCTTTGCTAAACTAGTATCCTGAGAGTAGAGAAAGTCATCATTTGTCTCATGTGGGAGACAAGCAGCTGTGCTGCCCACGTTATTCTCACAGCAAGGAGTGTATATAGGAGACCCTGAAAACCTCCCTAGTTACGACAAGACAAGCAGACTGCAGTTGGCAGCTTACAACAGCTCACAACTGTCATCACCCGCTACCATAAGTAAATTCTGATTGAACACACTCTTGCCCAAGTAAATAACGAGAAAAGCACTTATTAACATATGACTTTAGACTCTCTCATCAGCAAGGGCTGAGGAAAGTCAGGGAAAGAAGCTTTGGAGACATACTGAAAGGCATGTACCTCCTGAGTGAGGAGAAAGAGCTACTGAAGAAAGCAGAGGAATCATTGGTCTCACAGACCAGGGGAGATTAGAAAAGAGGACCAGAAAAAATACCCTATGTACGTTTTGAACTTAAAGCTGAATCTCCATGGACCTCTAAGTTCAGGTTGCTGAGACTCCTAACCAACGAACTGATCTTGACACCTACATGTACCTGCTCTGCTTTTAGTTTTATATGTTTCCAGTTAACCTTGTCTGTTAGAGGAAGGACCAAGATACTTGATGGCTCACATGTTAACTACTCAGATTTATAATTCTCTCATAAGCCGGAAAAATCTAAACCCAAGATTGCAATCAACCACAAAACACAAATCTTTAAAAACTAAAGCAGACTACGGTATTTTTAGGGCTTTTCAACTTACTCCCTACACTCATAAAACTAAAACTAAGACAAACCAGAGAGAATTCAAGGCTTGAGGGCCCTGGTCTCTGCTGTATCCCACAAGCAGCCTCAACAAAAGCGTCCGTTGGGCAGAGTTTCTGAGAGCAGCAGCTTGGCACAGGTGCCTCTACAAACAGAGTAACCCAGTGGAAAGCGCAGTGTGAGAGGAAAAAACCAGCAGCGTGATGGCTTTCAGATCCCACATCAAGGCTCAGAAGCAGCTTTCTTGCAACCTGAAGGCAACAAGAGAGATACTAAATAGTGTCTTGGGAGACTGCTTTTATATCGTTGTTTTTTTGCAACATAACCGTATTTATTTGGTCCAGCAGCCTTCAGCAAGGCATCACACAGGCTTCGAATCCTTCGCACAACCCCATCTCTGCGCCGACTGATGCGTTCCCAGCGTCCACAGATTACTGAAGGTCTCACTTGAGAGTCCTGGGAGCAACACAAGAGCCTCAAGTCCATCATCTGAACTTCTCAATTAAATGAACTTATGTCGGCCATCATTGCTCATGGCACAGTAATGTAAACCCACATCATGAAGGAGGGTCTGCTGACACAACATTAAAATGGAAATACAAAGCTGATACTGATTTTTCAGGGTATTACCTGGATCACAAATCTAACTTCGCTCTAATGCCTCCTCCGTACATTACTCTGAGTGAGTGAAGCACAACACAGCCTCATGGTAGCAACTAATTTTGCATATTGCACCTTTTCTGTGCTTCCTAAACTACACTAAAATCAGGATTACAGTGAGAAAAAATCTACTAGACAACGTGTATCAGACAAACATTTGCATGTTTAATAGACTCATTGTCCACTCACAACTGTGTAACAGAAAAACCAAACCAACCCCTCCCAAAACCCCAACAGCCACTAAGATCTGGAATCAAAAGTCTTTCCCATTCTCCTTTTAAATCTGTCAGAAAAATGGTTACAGACATGGCTGAGAACACTGTAGTGGTTATAAACTTCCCTAGAGGAGTAACAGAAACGTCAACAGTAGGTACCACTAACATTGGAAAGAAGCTATATATACATTTTTGGAGCAATTCCAACAGTATTCTCTAAGCTAATGTGGTATATTCCAGAAGAGATTACAGACTTTCAAACTCACATCACTGCACCGGCTGCTGCATGTGTAAGATGGTTAAAAATTGATGTTGTAGCCTACAATCCAAAAAATTCCAGAAAACGAGTTTTTTCTCCTTTCCAGATTAGAACAAAACTTTGCTTAGAACCCAGGACATTAGTGTAACAGAACATGGTTAAGTGAGTCTACAAACAGAATCAACTTCTTTAAGCTAAGCAAAATCTTTATCAATATCTCAAGACAGACTCTTCCCAAAGTAGATCCTCTTCTTTTTTGCTACCTGTCTGTAGCTTCTTTTTACCATTTTTGCGCTTTTTTCTCTTTTTCACAGGGAGGTTTTCTTTAAGACTTTCACCTTCATAGGGGCTTGATTTCTTCTCATTTACCAAATCTATCTCAACTTTAATTTTCTTTTGCACCACATTTTCACTTCCAAGATCTTCACCTTCACTATATACCCTTCTTTTCTGCTCTGGATTTTGCTCTGTCTTCTGCTCTGCGGCTTCTTTCCTCAGGCTGGAAGATAAAGTGGTTAGATGACAAAGATGTCCCCTGTGAGAAGGGCAGCTCCAAAGACCTATCCCTTAAATGTATCTTGTTCTGCCTTAATTCATCAGCTTTACACGTTCTTTTGCCAAGCTATAGATAGGCCTGCAGCAGTTCACTACACTCCTGGTTTTGAGGACTGTAATTCTGTTGACTAAACAAACATTTTAAATCATATTAGTTTTACATCAGTCTCTTGTGATTATATTTTTATGGTGCCTTCACTTAAAAATATGTCTTATCAAATGCTTAACACGTAAGCAATTTTGATATTTAGCCTACTTGCATAGCAAGCTCTAAAAAGTAAATCACCACAATATCCATTCTGCAATTAGCAGAGCTTGCAAGCCCTCTTCTGGGTAAAAGGGAAAAGTACAAGACCTATCACTTATAAATGACTTTATGACAAACGGAAGATGCATGCTGACGAATCCTGAAAACTGATGGAGATTTGGCATTTTGGGGATTAAAGTCTCCTTTGCCCTGTCAGTAAGAGTCTTAAAGTTCAGACTGTTTCCTTCTAGACTGACCATGGAAGATGCTGTCCCAAAACAGGTGCTGCTATCCTCAGACAGCAAAAAAAGTGGGAAAACTACACAGGTTTCAGATCTTTCCCCTGTGGGCTGTCAATGAGGATGCAACTGTGGGCACTCTATGACTGAATTTCAGTCACAAGTGTGACGTTTAAATGGACAGTGCCCTGTTAAACTAGTAAACCAAGCAACAACAAAAAACCCCAAACTGAAACAAAACCCCCACAAATTAGTGATAGGCTCTTAACAGCAGACAACAGGGATAATGAAAAGAAGTTTGAAAGTAAAAACTGCAGAGGAATAGTAACAAAAGACTTCTTGACTTACTTAATCTGATGCTTATTTCCCATCATGTGGGAGTGGTACATTTGTACCGATGTAAGTACAATGTTACACACAGAGCACACACAATAACCAGCTCCAACTGCTGAAAAGAAAGAGCCTGTATGTTAGACAGACTACAAATGAAAGGCAAAACTCAAAGCACATCACGATCCCATCCCATGCAAGAGTCCTAACATGTTCCCATCAACGACACTTATAGACAAATATATAGTCTCTGCTGCAATTTTACCCTAGAATATTTATGAAGGGAGGTGGTGAGGTGTACAGATGCAGTGTCACCATGGTTTAAACAGTATTTCTGATGACTCAAGTAAATCCAAGATAATTCCAGTAAACTGTTGTCAAGTGCTGATGGGAATGAACCATACTGGAAAATGAAGTAGTGTTGGAAATACTCGACCCAAAGCATGTGCCAGTAGATACCAATCCAGTCAGTATAGATTTAATTAAAATAAGATCAGTTTAAACATTACCCGCTCAAATGTTCGTGCAGTGTTGGCTCAACTCTGTGAAGATGCTGGGGGAATTGTCAACACAGTACATTATGAATCTGATACATGGAGCCTCAGGCAAATATAAGGTAAGGTCAGATAAGGGAAACCCCTGTGTTTTCTAAGTTGTCATTTTCTTCTCTCCTACAAGCTATGCAGGAGACTTAAGTATTCTGAAACTAGTGAGTAACCTTTTTTCTCCATGTAAAGGCAAGAGCTTCATCCATTAGCAAAACATAGCAATGAAAACATATTATTATTTTGTTGAAATTATAGCATGACTTAATAAGAGCTGTTTTATATTAACAATGACTTTTGACTACCAAGTAGGATTTTGAATTCCTTATTAAAGACAGGATCAACAGTTCTGCTGCACAAAACCAGATGATGCTCCTTCAGAACTAATGAAAGTTGCTCAACAACAGGGCCCTAACTTTTGGCACAGTTCTTGAGCAGCAGTCGGTCCTGCTGGGAGGCTAGAGAATGACGACTGTTCAGGAAATAAATTGCCTTATGTGGGAAGATGGAAATAATTACAGCAACCAGTTTCATGAATAAAAGATTGAAGGAAGACATGACACCATTTTTCAATTATTAAAAAAACGTGACCAAAAGGAAACAAATGATTCTTCTGTCTGCTGCTTGCTCTGCGTACAGTGAAAAAACACACTGCGGTCAGGGAAAGCCGAGTTCAATGTCAGTAGAAGGTTTTAAGACCAAGAAGGGAAAGATCAAGAAGTCTTGGGTGATGTTTCTTGTGGAGGTTGTGGAATTTCCAGCATGGATGGTTTTTAAGAAAAAGGTGGATGAATATCTGAAGAATAACAGGCATGACTGATCTCGGCCTTTGATTTAGGGGACTGGGCTATTTTCTGTGATCCTTTGAATGTGACTGCAGGACTCGGTGAGGACTGGATTTGGGTTTCCAAGTTAATAAGACATATTTTCCAATCTACAACTGTCAGAAGCAGAACTTTAGCAGTTCATAGACCAAACAGAAAGGAAGAAATGGACTTGCTCTGTCATGCAGAACAAGTAATGCAGGAGAAGTCGTATCATCTCCTTGCACACAGCCGAGAAGTCCCTTGAACAAATCAGAACTGAGCACTCAAGCTACACAGAGATTGCAACACCTGCTCATGCTCTGCTTACCACTTGTGACGAATTCTGCAGGGACAGCGCTGTCTCCCAGCTTCTTCAATACCTTTTGCCGTGCTTCATTTTTTCTGTGCCTCTTACCAACATAATGCTCCCAGGCCATAAGTGGATTATTGAAGGGAGCACAGCAGAGCTTGCAGTACTTCTCTGGATCATTTAAATTCAGCTTTGTGTCAGAGGATGATGAAGACTCTGCAGCTTCTGAAGGCAGCAAGGGCTTCTCAGCCAATGGCATCTGTAAAGCTGGAAACAGGGAAGCAGATAATAAATCTGCTGACAGCACAGCAAAATAAAGACTTAAACAATTCCATGGAGCAAAATAAGTGACTGCAGAACTACAAAGCCAGAAAGGAGGACAATCCGCTGGGTGCTGAACTACTTGCAAGAGACTATAAAATATCAATGCTTGTAAGGATCCAAATGTAGAGACTCATAAGGAACACAATCCTGAAATATTTAGAAATCTCCCCATTAGATACTTAAAAGTCAGCTGTGTTTGACAGCTGGTAACTCTAAGGTCCCTACACAGCCCAAGAAGGGAGATGTACCCTGCACAGGGTAATTCAGAGCACACACACTAGGCTCCTTCTTTAAATACAGTTGAGCAACTTGAACAGAGCCAACAGCAGTTAAGTGCTGCTCATGGACTTATTTTTTAAAAATTTCTTATCATATTAATTTCTCAGAGGAATATCTTGTTGGGACTTCAGTGAATTCTCAGAACAACAAGGAACACCCTTCATTAATAAAAGACCAGAAATATTTGTCTTTAGTTTCAGTTAGTGAAAGATAGTGAATTGAAAGCAAGATTCCCCGGCTTCAGAGTTGCACAAGGTAGTATCTTTGTTTCTTCACCCAAGGAATTACCACAAGACAGCTCCACAACTTCAGCAGAATAGAAAGGCATAGAGACATGGCAAGTACAGGAATGTCCTTTTCTCTATTTGTTCCAGAGAGCGACAGGAAAACATGAAAAGCAAAGTATTTAGTTCTTACCAGAAAGAGGCTGCATGCTCTGTGCTGCCATGTGGGCTTGGTCTCCTGACAATTGCTTCAGCTTTTTCCTGTGGACCTTTCCCAAGTAGTGAGACAAAGCAACAGCAGGGGAAGTAAAAAACATCCCACAGACGTCGCAGCATTTGTTTTTGTCCTCTACTCCACTCTCATCCATCTGAAACCAGACAAGGGCAAGCTCTGTTACAAGCACTCACTGAAGTGTACGAGGAAACACTTTATTTAGCAGTGAAGAGGAATAGCTACTTGAAAATTGATATAATTTGTTTGCCAGGCTCCTGCCTCTCATCTTTCTCACCATGCATTTGGACGTAACGACGAAGGTTCTGAGCACGTTTTTCTCCCTGGGAAGAGACTAGAATTATTCCTGTTTCAGTAACAAGGATGCAAGCAGTGATATAGTCAGTGACTGGGACTTCATTCATCAAAAACTTCTTTCAACACTTGCCAGATTGTATTTGTATAAAGCAGAGCCACAAGCAGTCAAACGCCAGCTGATGTAACAATGCTATACTGTAATCAAGAACATAGTATTTAGCATTACTCATAACATTTTGCCTTAAGCAGCCCTCCGAGTCATCTGCTCTGAACTCTTTGGGGAATCAAAAATCTTAACATGTCCCCTTACAAACAAGGATGCTAAAACAGGTAAGGAAAGGAATGCAGCCGTGCCACAGAACAAATCTGCCGTGCTCCTTTACCTCTAAGCCTGTGGGCCTGACATCAAGGATATCCTGTATCCTGGCAAAGAAGAATGACAGGCAGCACGACTCATAAGAGGTCTAGTCTTGCCATACAGTCAGGGAGACAAACAGGTTTCCCTGGAAGCTAAGTTGAAATATCTCTAGCAGGAAGTCTGTCTATGAAGCTTTCTACAACTTTCTACTGAGGATAAAGTAGTCCAGGTAACTAAAATTGGGTGTTAGCATATACTTTTTTAATTCTCAGATGGTCTCTCAACCTGTAACCTTCAAACTCCAGCACTTGTAACACACTTACTCAAAGGCAACCCCACACAGTGGTAACCTACAAGGCAAAAGCAGTAACCTGCCTTCCCTGATCTGATACTTTTCAGATGTCTTTTAAGGATTCTGAGGAGCAGTGCAGGATATTATAACAACACTACTAAAGAGAAAGGGGTCTTGATCATACCTGGCTAGATAATACAACTGAGGAAAAAGAGCCAATTATTTGCATCAATTTGATTTGTACTGTGAAGTCAGGTAACTTTGCAATTGCATCTATTACCTCAACTGTAGTTGTCTCTGAGAAACAGAACATCAAACTGAGGATCTGAACTCTGTGAAGTTCTAACAGCACAATTGCTGCTGAAGTGAAATCAAAATAAGCAAACAGAACATCTTGCAAGACCTGAGTCTTAACAATGTGCACAGCAGGAAAGATTTCTGACAGTAAATGACATTTTAAACTTTTTCAAGAAGGAAGAGAGAAGTGCCTGTGCCTGCAAACCTGCACACCCTCAAGATCAAGTTTCAAAATGAAGCATGCTTGCCCACATGGCAATATCCAAAGCACACAGTTGAACCAAGAAATGCCTCTGGCATGATTCATCCAACCTGCCTCCGGCAGACGCTGGTGCACACAGCAGCACACGTGTGTCGCTGGGAGAAGTGTCAGGAGGCACAACCTTGATCCTCCACAGCCAGCACTGCCACGCTGGCTCATGTGGTGCAGATCTGCTTCAGTCCCACATACGGCACGACCTGAACCTGCTCGGTTCCTTCTAAAACCATGCCGCAGTGTGCAAGGGACTGCCATTCGCTATCGCTGAACCCACAACTTTCACAACATTCAAGTCTGGTTAAAGCCTAAACTCAGAATAAGCCTTGAGAAACACAATATAAAAAGTATTTTATAACACTACGTAGAAACACCAAACAAAAATCCCCAAAGCTCCAGTGCTTGCCAGGAGAAATTCTCCTTTCCAGCCTACCTTATAATGTGACATCCTGTCAGGCTCAAACAGCAGCACTGCCCTACAAACCTTACAGAAAGTATCAGTGAAAAGGTCTTTCCCTGTTGCCTCACCTAAAATGTCATCTAAACAGAAAGAGCAAAAGACAAAATTATCAGTAGTTAGGACAAGGTATATTTCCATGTCGTTGCTTACACAAAACATCAACTGCTTAAATATTCACATGCAGCACAGGATGAAGGAACCAGCGTGCACCCACTGACTCACAGTGTATCTCGCTGTGGCTTTAAAGCAACGCTGTAAAGCCACCTCAACCTTCCTCCTTACAGAAGTGCTGCTCCCATGGGCTTACAAAGTATTACTGTAAGAGTACTTGGGCTTCAAGAACATAGTCGGAAACTCTTCACTGGTTTTCAGTTCACTTCAAACAGGCCACAATGTCGGAAATACTTGACTAATGGCCTAAAAAAAAGGATTTTAACTGGACTAGATCACACAGTCAGTCAAATATGGGAAAGCTCCTTAAAGAAGAGATTTACAGAAAATTTGAGAATAGCTCAGTACATGAAAAAAGCCAGGTGTCAGATGCTTAGGAAGGCTGCACCTCTGTCACTTGTAAGTTTAACTGATTTAGTTTTATGGGAAAAAGCAGCTCCAATGGCTTGTTTTGATATTCTTTGCCTTTATATCAATTAACTCCTTGCCTGTATACACTTTAATTCATATTAAAATTGGCCCAGACTTGAAGCTATTCCTGAATAATTGTACGTGCAGGCACATTTGATCTTGGGGGGTCATATTCTAACAAGCACTTAAAAGTTGTACCAATACCAGGACAATTATGAGAATTAAACACACCACTCAGAAGAGTATCGCTATGCTAGCAAAACTCTCACAAAGATAAAGCTACATCACTAACCCGGTTCTCTTTCCTCTTAATACACTTTAATTCATTAGGGAAACCAGTTTAACTCATATTTCTTGAAACACTTCTCTAGTACAGGCTGTGCTTTCAAGGAACAAGTTTATCCATGCTGCTGTACGATCAAAGTTTTTTTCTGTGCTGACAAACTCTAAGACTGTTTCTTTTTCATCCTCAGTGGGTCTCACAAAATCCATTTAAGCTAGAATTCCACTTTCTGCCCTGTTCTTGAAGTTAAACAAGTTAAACAAAGCCAATGCTAAACAAACCTAAAGCAAAAACAGAAGAAGCCACATAAGTAGAGAGTTCAATTAAGCCACACTCTTCAAATTAATTTGAGGTTAAAGAGAAAATATTGGGGAAAGTATTGGGATGTCTTAACCGAGCTTAAGCCCTCTAAGTGTATCCAGTGGTCCATCCCAGAAGACACACATGCAGTAGTTGGTTTTCTTTGCTTTGTACACAGCCTGGAGATGTCGTGGGCAAGGCAAGCATCGCTCCCTGTGGTCTCAAGGCTCAGTGCCAAAAGGCATCTAGAAGCACATAACGGATGCACCCACGAGCGCCGAGAGAGCTGGCAGATGTTGCCGCTAGACCACTTTCACACAGTCACGGAATTGCCGAGTCTGGAAAAGGCCTTTTAGATCATCCACTCAAATCATTAACCTAATATTGATAAGTCCTTGACTAAACCATACCCGTAAGCGCTATGTCTATCTGACTCTTAAATACCTCCAGGGATGGGGTCTCCACCACTGCCCTGGGCAACCCGTTCCAGTGCCTCATAACCCTTTCAGTAAAGAAATTGTCGTGGTTTGACCCTGACCAACAGCCAG